ACAGTAAAATTTTCAAGACTCTAGCATTCCGATTTAAAAAGTTAAGAGGGGTGAGCTACTTATGATTCCTACTGTACGTATAGTACTGTATATAGCACATCACTAGCTCTATAATAATAACTTAATTATGTATAATTTTTTTTTTTTGTAATAAATTTTAATTGCTAATTAATGTTTTAATTTTAATTAGAAAGAAAATAAATATAAAAGACACTATTTACTATATATCAGAGTCTTGAAATACTATTAAAAATTTAGCAATTATCAATTGTCGGAATAAAACTAAAATTTTGCTATTAGTTTTTTATGAAGAAATTAAAGTTACTGCTGATAATCAAGATACGTTATTGAAGCAACAAGAACAAGAAATTGATTCATTGGTGATAGATTTAATATCTCAAGATATAGATTTAAATGTAAAAAGCCAGTTGAACATATATTTGAACCTCAATAGTTCATATATTATAACTGAAAAAAAACTTGAAAATTCTGAAATTATTAAGATAGTTTTGGATAAAAAAAATCAACTTGAAAATGGAAACCCTAATGATTTAAATAAAGATGAACCAGAAATTGCTATGTTAAAGAGATTAATAAAATTAAAAAAGATCATTAGCTTTTTTGAACAACAAACTGATATGGATTTCAAAGCAGAAGATCTTAAAATTTTTCAAAAATATTTAACTTTAGTAAACCAAAAATATATTGAATCTAAATACCAAATATTTATTGATGATTTTTTTATACTTTTAAACAATAATGTTACATAGTAATATACAATATTTTCTTAATATTTTCAACCTTTTTCTTTTTTATTTTACCTATGTTTTAGTGAAGGTTATAACAACTCATGTGATAATTAAATATAAGTTTTATATATTCATAATTAATATAAATATTTGGAATAAATATTGCCAGTATATAAAAATAAGCATATAAGCGAAAGTTTACCTTAAATAAAGCAATTTAGTAAAGTTTGTTCTAATTGTAGTTTCCCTTTTGCAATAAATTTACTTCATCAAGAGCCATTTTGATTATTTTAATTTATGTGAGTAAATAAAGCCCTGATTTGAATAAGTTCTTAAGTATCGCAATTCAGGACCTGTAATAAAGACAAGAGAGATAGTGATTTGCCTGATAAATCTAAAGGAAAAATAATTAGAATTGTTAATATTTGATTAGTAATAGTAAGAACAAGTAAATTTAAAAGTTTAGCTTCTATTCAATTTCACATGATTATGCAAACAATATAAGACAATAAATCAGACGAATATATATATATAGTCAATAAACACCTAATTGTAATTATTTGAGAGATCTGCATTACTTCTTTATAGACATCTTAGTTTAAGAGACTGCATTATTTCATGATACTTATTTATAGATGTCTTAGTTCAAGGGATCTTTCATAGACACTACATTTCAATTAACAATTACTTACCAACAAGTTTATTTTACTAAAGCTTATTTTTTATAGACAAAGTAATTTTGGTCAATATTACAAGGGTTAGGCTATAATTAGAGCTAAAGTTAGTGTAATTTATAAAAAAAAACTTGTTAATGAAATAAGCTTTGGTGAAATATACTGTCAGTAAAATGAACTTGCCGATAAATAATCATGATATCTATAAAGTGATTATTGGTGAAATAATACAAACCCTTAGTTTAATGATTAATTCACAGACAAGCTTATTTTACAAAAAATTTATTTTACCGACAGAACATTTTATCGACAAGTTCATCTTTTAAATAAACTATAAGTTGCTTTAATCGAAACATTTTGTTGTCAAATAAGCTGATGATGAAATAAATAAAATAAATCTGTCTGTAAATATATACTGTATAAATAAAATAATTTTTTGTTGATTTTCCATTTATGAGTGATTATTTATGAATTAATGATTAAGTGATAGAAAATTATAGAATTATTTTGTATCATATTTTGCACAAAGTAAATTTTTAATTGAGAAAACTATAGTAATTAGAGATGAGATTACTTTGCACTTTGTATAAAGCTTGTAGAATAAATACTAGTTTTGTGAGATACATCTTTAAACAAACTACAAGAGTTAAAAATACTGTAAATGGCTATACAAAAGACCTGGTCTGTTATATTTCACAATTTAAAAATCTATATTAAATAGTACATAACTAAGAGTTTGTATTATTAAAAATAAAAATTTGAAATGCATATACACTTTGTATTTGTTTATACAATCTAGATATTTGAAAAGAATTGCATTTTAATCAAGATCCTGAGAACTGCACTTGGGTTTAGTACTTGATGGGTCTACTATTTGGAAAAATATCTTTTATATAGCATTTTTTTAGTAGATTAATAGTTAAATTCTTAACTCTTGTAGTTTTACAATATTATATATATATATATATATTTTTTGGTTTCAACAGTAGCTACTTTATTACGTCTGAATAGTTAAGTATTCACATAGTAGTATAGCAGCCTAGTCTATATACATTTCTATATATATTCCAGGTCCCTCCTCCATGGTGTTGCAGTTTCCAGACTTACTATACTCTCCATTCGTGTATAAAGCATCACACGGCTGCTCAGAAGTGCATATATATAACTGTCTAGCCACTGATTTACCTCCTCTTTGGCCCCTAACTTGCTAGGGGGAATCAATGGAAGGCTGTGCTTGCCTATTTGCTAGGGCACCTGTCCCACTTATGTGCTTTATCCAGACTTCAGTAATTTAATACTATAGCTTGACCTATGCACTCGGGGTCAGGGCTAACTATTGAACCTCTTATATTATCTATTTCTTGCTCTTATTAAAGTTCACAACAATCCCAATACCTACATTTAGTACCATCTTCTTACCTGGATTTTTTATTGGTCCCTTTTTTACTTCCAGCTAGCAACTCAGAAGGGTTGGTCTGTCTAGGCTTTAGATGCCTAAAGAATACTCTTCCCTTGGTATATACTTTTGAAGCATATGCTCTTTTCCTCTAGTGTAACAAAACCTAACAGTTCGGCTAGTGTGTTTTCCGCCATTAGGACTTGATCATTCAGTTCTCCGATTTTGGGCCCCAGTTCGAATTCAGCCCTCATATAGTACCGTCATAGATCATTGCTATTTTTTAGCTCAGGACTTTCCAAATGAGTTTTCAGTTATTCTGGTTTCTTAGCTTTATTGCGCCATTGCTCCCATTACTAGATGGTGTGACTGAAGTTACAGATTTATCTAAGATCCAACTGATAATCATAACTATCAACTGTAATGCAAGTCTATTTTTCAAAATTTGGCATCCATAAGATTCGAACTCGAGATCTGCTACTTAGAAAGAGTAACAACTAGATTACTACACTAAGTTACCACATCTCAGTTTTACAGTATTATAATACAGTATAAATTATTTTAAAACATTAGGTTTTTTATTTTTATCTCTATTAAATTACATTTTTTATATTAATTCGTGATCTGCCAGTGAACTAGTGAAAACACATAGTAAAAAGTAGAAAAATTTACTATTGTCTTTGGAATCTGGAGTTTCCAAAGAAAAGTTTTTTCTTTACTAACTAAACCTCTTTTCGACTTCTAAGAAAAGTTGTAGCAGAGTGTCTTGCGAGCAAAATGGCAGTTAAACCATTAAAATCTGCCCAGTGGATCGAGAGTTATAAGCATTTTAGTTTTCACGACTATATGTTTTCTTCTTTATATAAATAAAGAAGAAAACATATAGTCGCAAAGGCTAAAATGCTTATATCTCTCGATCCACTAGGCCGATTTTAACGTTTTAACTGCCATTTTGATCGCAAGACACTCCTCTACAACTTTACTTAGGAGTCGAAAAGAGGTTTAGTTAGGAAGAGAATTTTTTTTTCTTTGGGAAACTCCAGATTCCAAAAAAGGCAAAATTTATATAGTAAACTTATCACCAATATTTACTATGTTATTTTACTGGTTCACTGACGGATTACAAATTAATTATTATTTGTGCTTATATAGAGGTACCTTTATAAAGTTATACCTCTTTATAATTACCCTATTGGGGTGTGTCCAACTGTGTGATTATATGGAGGGATGACTGTAATTTAAATTAATTTTTAGTATTGAAAAACTAATTTCACCAATTTTACTCAATAGTTTTAACAATTTTAACAATTTTAACAAATCAAAGAAGGGTAATTTCACCCCTATCTATACCAATAACCTTGTTTATATAAATAGTAAATTCTAAATTTGGCATTACAAAATTATTTTTTGGTTCTATGATATTAGAAAACTTTTTTTTTATATATTTTAACAAGTGGTTACCAGATGATCAGGTATTTTTATAAACTTCAAATATTATGAAAGGTTCTACTATGAAATCCCGAAAGAAAATAACTAATACTTTGTCAGTATTATGTATTTTAAGATTTTGTGGTAGAACCATTATGAAAACCAAAAAATTAAAACTTTGTATATATATAATTATATTTTTGTAAATGGCATGACTTGTCAGAAAATATACTCAGAAAAACAAATTGAATAGTATCTGGTATAAAAATCATTGGTGTGTGCACTAAATTTTGAAATTAATATGCACTTTGTGTTAATATGTATTTAGTACAGTAAGTCTAACATTAATATAATATTAATATTATCATTACGGATGGCTAATTAATTGAAATCTATATATGTAGATATCTAATTAGCCACATGGAATTTTTGTAGTAGAAAGGGCCTATATTGCTTTATATATGATTTTGAGGAAATCGAGTTTGTTTTGTTTAGACTGATCCGGTTAATTAAAAGTTTCATGATTTGATTGGTCAGTTATATCAGATAATCCCATAATGTATGAAACTTCCAAAAAATTTTTTTAAAATATCACAATTTTTTATTATGCAAATCAATTTCTATTTATCCCTTAAACTATTTGTCATTTCAGGGCAAATTTGCCTTAAAATTTTCCGATAATTACTTATATTATAGCCACGACAAAATAATAGCATACATGATACAAAATTTTATACCACAGTGCTAAAACAGTATTTATTTTATTATTTATACTCATGGTACTCAATAAAGCAATTTGGATATTGCTTATTAAGACATAAAGGTACATTATACGTTTTGCACTACACTTGACCTCATGGTGAATTTTTGTTGTGTTTCTCTTGCTCAGCTATAGTTTTAAAATGGCACCAAACACAGGAACCTTTATCTTCATGATATTCTGGATAGTGACTTTGTGGAGATAATCTTTCAATAGATAAATCATATTTTTTTGTAACATAAAATGGTCTTTGCTAATCATTTTATAATCGGACTGAAATTTTTTTTTCTTTGTCTGTATATTTATTTGTTGACTCATTTGAATGATTTTTCCACTAAACTCCATGCTAAACTTATTCTAAAATCTTTGTGCACTATTGCCAAGTTAAGATTTTTTGAAATTAGGAAGGTATTAACAATGCTAGTATCCAGGAGCCAAAAAAACAATAGCATCCAAATGCAATGTACAGGAACTTGTGTACTATAATAGCCCCTTAATTGGTCAGCTATATCAACTCCGCCGACAGATCCAGGATGTAGGTGAGATTTTCCGGGTCATGTGATTAATCGATCTCCGATCTTATCTTGGAATCACGTAACCATGTCGGCTCTTTTCTGTTACACAAATTAACATAACAAAAATAAATATACAGATCTTTTTTTT